TATCGATAACCTTAGGGGTATCAGCAACATGTAAAGTACCAATCATGTTGTGTGCATCCATTATGGAAGTCAATTGTGTCAACCTCTTCATCATTCTCCAATTCAGGATGTACAAGATTGTTGGCTGAATTTAACGGCTGTACAATTGTCCTCCAAAGTCATGTGTGGTAAAAACAATACCAAATATTGAGGAGAGCTTAATGTTCAGGTTGTACTACCTACCACACAGCCACCAATTAGATTGACTCCAAAAATTTCTGTCTATGTAATAGAAATTTCTTTCTATGTAATCAGGAAAACTGGCCAACAACAAATGCTATTTAATCCAGCATGGTCTATCAAACAAGTCAAATTACTAATGCAAAACAATGTCTCAGAGATTCAGCCAGCTTGTTCACCTCAATGTCTCAGAGATTCAGCCAGCTTGTTCACCTTTTTTGCAAACTTCCTTTGAGGGGTGGACAACCTGGTTGCGAAAGCAAAATTCTTTTCACAAATGGATGACAAGAGATATAACCGGTGTCGTGGGATCAGGACTAGGAATTTTGAATAGTATTGATTCAGAAGTATTGATGAATAAATTGGCTGTTGCAACTAAAGATTTGACCAAAATACAACTACCACTGAGGTCATCTTTAACTGCTTTGGGAACCCAACAGTGGTTGCTATTAAACATATTACCAAATTGGGAAAGGGTAAATGTAGATGATCACAAATTAATAATTGATGCACTCAGTGCTACCCAAAACAATGTTTCTCTGGCTCTTAGCTGTATTCAAGCCCAGTTGTGGATGCAGTCAGTTGATGCATCAATTATCAGAGAGGGTGAAGAAGGCACCTTTCCCACTGAGATTCGGAAAATAGTCTGGGACAATGCCAATGACTTTGAAAAGGAATTTCAATCTTGGTGGAATTTGGTAAATTTTACCTACGATCCCATCACAAACCACGATCCCACCACAAACACAGCCACAGCTTTTGTGTTGACAATACGTAATGCTTCAGTATCATTGCACTGGGGCTGAATCATGACGGAGCTGTTCTCTATCCTTTAGAGCATAGGGAATGGGCCCGTCAGATTGGTGGGAAATGGCAAACTGTTGGTTTAGAAAATTGTATTGTCCAGGAATAACAAGGGTTTATCTGTGAAAGTAATGCAATCAAAGCTCAAGACATTTGTTTAGACACAGAACAGAATATCTCTCATTTTGAAATCCATCCTAATGACACTTCTGAAACAGTGCTTGTGTATGTAGGCAATGGATGTGTATGCTTGAGAACTGCTTGTGATAGTATGCTTGTAGAAAACATAGTAGTGGATACTAAGAATCTTTCAAATTTTTGTGTATGCAATTTTACTGAGATTGTAGGATGTGACTATTCTTATTTAGCTCCAGTTACTTCATATTATCTTTTGCAGTATAATTACACTTTGATTCATCTTTTAGTGCCTGCTCTAATTGGAATGAACTTTACTCTGGTAAGGCAATTGTTGCTTCACCAGGATTTAATTGAAATTTTGGAAAAGATCAAAAAGGATGGACAAAAGACCTTAGTTACGGTTCACCACAATATGAAAGGAATACATCGTGTTCTGGAAAGAGTAAGGAAAGATGCTGAACACAAGTGGTGGGACACTCTTTTTGGGTGGTCACCAACTGCTACAGGTGTTTTGAACAAATTGTGTCATCCCATCATCGTCCTCTTGGTTTTAGTTTTATTTGGTTTTGTTCTATCAGCAATTTTGTACATCCTGAATTGGAGAATGATGAAGCGGTTGACACAATTGACTTCCATAATGGATGCACACAACATGATTGGTACTTTACATGTTGCTGATACCCCTAAGGTTATCGATACTCGATGAAATATGCAGGCACTACAATAAATAAGTTGACATTGTGACTATGAGGTTAATCATTTTATCATGTTGTATTTTAGAATATAATTTATTATTTGTTTTAAGATAAGAAACCAATATGTAAGTCTTAGTTGAAATTATATATATGAAATAGTTTTTCTTTGAAATCAATATATTGATTTTCTTATTGTTTTTGTTTCCTCTTTTTCCTTTTTCTATCCCTTATCTTTTCCCTACTACCTGTCTCTGTTTTTTCTGGTATATACTACCAACTGTAACGAGTCCTGAAGACTTCAGAGAAGAATTCTGCAGCAGCACTACAACATCGTGCAGAAAGACCTCGACGATTGTGAGCCATGGGGTGGTGTAAGAGACGGTCCGAAGATTCCCTCATCTGTCTCACAACCGTCTCAAGGACAGAGACTGAGACCCTGAATATCACAAGAGACTTGGTTTGGGGGTTTGGGCCTAGCTGAGATGGATGTTTGCTCAGTGATTGTTTGCAGGTGGTTGCACGGTACACTGCTCTCGTTCCTGCTGGTGAGCAGAGGCTTGGTAACCTGCGCAACGGGTTTTCCACGACTCATGGCTTTCATTCCTGCTGGTGAGCAGAGGCTTGTGCGTGGTACCCTGTGCAATAGGTTTTCCACAACACCTTGTCCTTGTTCCTGCTGGTGAGCAAAGACTTGCAAGACATGGATCGCTCTGTACCCTACACCTGCTCCCTGCGCAATGGAATTCATCACAATGATCATCAATCTCATCTGGTTTTGGCCCTGCGCCCCTCGCTTTGCAAAAGACTATAAAATTATACCCCAAACTTACCTTCCTTTGAGATCTCCCCAACGCACAGAAGACTCTGCGTCGTTGGATGGCTGAGTGGACTTCGACGTTGGTAGCTATAATCCCCTTACTCTCTTTTCCTTATGCTTTGCTTTCTCTTTTCTTTCCCTCTATTGCATATTAGTGCTGATGAGCACTCAATAAAGTGTGTTTTCTTGTTTAAGTCCTTGGTTTGCTGATAATCTTTTGTACTCTAAGACCGGCTAAAAGAACCACATCACGAATCCCACCTTGCGGATCGTGACACATCCCCACGGACTTGTTCAGACAATTGTATTTTGGGAATATCTAGTGATGCATAAAATGAAAATTAAGTTCCATAAGATATGTTATGCTACTGGGCAGATTGCAGAAGAAAGTGGTGTTCCATTACTTCCTGCTATTAGTATTTGCAAGCTGCTTACAAATACTGAGCCAAAAGATAGGAGAGTTTCAATAAATACAGTCTTCTTGTTTACTAAAAAAAACAAGTAGTTTGCTATCCAAATTAATTATCCAATTAGAGAATTGTAAATTCTCTAGCAATATGTATTTTGGTAGGAAACATAAGCATAAGAAAAGCTTTTTTGGATAGAGAACACCACAATTCCTGCCAAACTATTAGCTTTATATGCAGACTAGAAAATACTCCTACATGCTACAACTAAAATTTTTTCAAGTCAGGTCACAAATTTCCAATAAACATAATTTTCATGACCCCTTTTTCAAAACTTAAGCAAAGTAGGACCAAACAAGTAATATAATACCAGTGATAAAGATTCAATAAGCTAGAAATTATATTCCTTTTTTCTTGCACTGTATTTCCAGGGTAACAGAAATTCAGCCATGGTGACTAAGGACTCAAACCCATTAGAGTCTTTCCATGTCTGCTGCCATGTGGAACAGACTGTAGGGAGTTGAACAGATAGTTCAGCGAGGAAAGCAATTTGGAGGAAAGCAGGGAAAGGACAGCTCCTCCCATAGATATTCAGGAACAACTTTGATGATCAGACTCTCCAGACACTCAGTTTAAGCATGTGACAGTTGGTAAATTATTCACAACAGCACTTCAGAAGAGCTACAATAAGCAGATTGATACAATTCAATCATTTATGGACTGATAGACATAAAAAAATTTTCAGGCTCTGGGTGATGTCAAGCTTGTAGAAGCTTGAGAAGCTTGAATTAAGAAGTTTCAAGTTTGAGAAGCTTGAAGTGACCTGGAAATGAGAAACAACATTGCATCCTGGACAGTCAACTGCATCCTAGGCTGCAGGTCGAGGGACGTAATTACCTCACTGTGTTCCTCTCTGGTGAGACCCCACTGTGATACCACATCCAGCCCTGGGTTTCACAATTTAAGGACATAGATCTCTTGGGAGTGAGTCCAGAGGAGACCACACAGATGCACAGAGGGCTGGAGCACCTCTGCTATGGAGAAAAGCTGAGAGATTTGGGGTTGTCTAGCCTGAAGAAGGGAAGGCTTTGAGATTATCTCAGTTTTCCAGTACCTAAAGTGAACATACAAGAGAGAGGGGCATAGAGACATTTTACAAGGGCATATAGTGTTAGGATGAGGGAGAATGGCTCCTAAGAAAAGGAGGGTAGGTTTAGATTACATATTAGGAAGAAATTCTTTACTCAGAAGATAATGAAGCACTGAATAGGTTGCCCAGACAAGTTGTGGGTGCCTCATTCCTGGAAGGCTTCATTCAAGGCCAGATTGGATGGGGCTTTGAGCAACCTGATAAAGTGAAAGCTGCTCCTGCCCACAGCAGACATTGATTTTTGAAGGCACTTCCAACCCATACCATTCTGTGATTCTATGATTTAGAGAGAGATTGGATCCTCGGCCACTACAAAGCTTTGTGGTTGAAATTACCTCAATGATGAGTAAGTGTGAAAATCTAGCCAAGAATCTACTCTACTACACCATGCTCATGGCCACTGAACAGTCAAAAAAAGCTTTGAGTGAACATATAAAGCATTGCCCAGTAATAAAAATAAAATTCACTACTGTCTTTGAAACTTGTTGGTTTAATATTAATTTTACTTTCAGATTAATATGTAATCCCAAAATTGGGAGGACAAAAGTGAAAGGGATTGCTGGTACATAAAAACAACTGAAATAGTGACTTTCATAATATTCCCCGCATGCCTCACTCAAAGCTTGGTTTTAAGGATTAAATGGCCAGCATCTGGTGTTCAGAGGAGCATAAAGCCTCCTAGAGCAGAGCACAAAACAGCAGGTATTATATAAAATTGTATTGAGAGAAGTGGCAGTCATAACAATGCTTTAAAGCTGTAGAAAGTACTGTTAGTTTGCAGTCAGGTTAAAAGTGAGATAAGATATTTACTATTTGTTCTTCCTCATATAGTCTACCTGTGTTTAGTTTAAGTTTTTTTAAGCACCTTCCTGTTTTCACATATATATTTTTACACACATATTTTTAATATGTATACACATATATGTGTGTGTCTACATGCATGCAAACTGTGCAAAAACACGAGCAGGAACTACTTAATGAAGTTATTATGCACCATAGTGAGCAGGGTAGTACAGTTTAACTAGGAGTATAATATGTTTTCCACTCAAATAGAGAAATAGAAAATATATCTAGTTAGTTTTATCATTCAATCACTTTATCGTTTATCTCTACAAGCAAAAAGGGTAGCAACAAAAAAGTATGATAGATTATTAGATAGAGTTGATACACAAGTCGCATGGGGCAGGGTAGAAAGCTGACTTGATAGAAAAGGTCATACAGGTCCTGAGCACCAGAAAAATTGAGAAGACATATTAGTTCATTACCCTGAGCTCCTGTAAGACCAAAGGCTTTAGTCTTTCACACAGTTGCACCTGTATTGAATTCACTAATGTGCATTTGCAAAGCTTCATCTTCCAGAAACACAGATAGTTTTGCTTTAAAACAACAGTCACATCATAGAAATAATTACAGCTTCCCTGGTAATTAGGTCCATTGTTTGACCACCACATTGTTGCTGGCTGGGTCCTGGGGGCCTGTCCGACCCCCAGCTTCTGCTGGCAACAAACCCAGATAGTCAGGCTGTCCCAGGGGACAGAGCAGCCATCCGGGGTTTTGCAGGCAGCCTCCAGCCAGGGGTAACCCTCAGAGCATGGGCAAAGGCTTTGGTGGTCAGCTCTTTTAGCAGCGATTTCTGCTCTGTGATTAGCTCAGTTCAACCCAGCCAGCTCCCTTCAGGGGTTACCCCAGCCAACGCAGGCAAGAGATGGAAAGACTATATGGCATTCTGCAAGGAGTCTTTAATGCAGACTTCAGCCAAGGGGGTCAGTGATGGTCTAACCCTGGGTAAAAGCTGTGGCTTTTATAGGGAAGGGGAGAATCAGGAAGGGGACCAATAGTCTGAGACTGGAGT